CATGTTCATAGAGTCTTTGCAAGAACCCTATATGGAAAAGATGATGGGCAATGGGACATCAAACTTCTCTGACTTAGTTTCAGTAGGAGAACGCATTGAGAGCCATCTCAAGAGTGGAAAGATCCAAGACACCTCGAACATCCCAGCCAGTGAAAGTGAATCAGTTGTTAGCTCCCGAGAGGAAGAAAAAGATGAGATAAACACGATCAGGGACACTCCCCATGCTCCATCCTTGGTACCTTACCTTCAGTACCTAATTATCTCGACTGTTAAAAGTCAGCAATCCTATGGATCTACCTGTGTGACTCCAATCTCTTCACATGGTCAATATCCTCCTGTCAATAGACGTCTGCAACAACGACGTTACTATAATCAAAGACCAAAGAGACACTTTGATCCATTACCAATGCCATACAATCACGTGCTACCACGTTTGATTAGTAGTGGACTGATAGTGCCAAAGGGTTTGGATCCTGTGATCCCACCATATCCACCAGGCTTTGACACCAATGCACGATGTGGCTACCATGCTGGCGCAACGGGGCATTTGACCGAAGATTGCAAACAGTTCAGGAATAAGGTTCAAGATCTGATCGAGTCCAAGCTAATCTCGTTCACACCTCAAGGACTTCATATCAACATCAAACCTTCATCTAGTCAAGTGAGTTCCTCAGTCCATGACATGGAAGAAGCTGTAGAGAGTAGATATGAAGAAGGTTATCATGCTGGTCTCGATGAGCAAGAAGGGTAGCTCAACTGTGATGCAAGAGAGAAAAGTCCAGTTCCTCAATACTGGCAATTTCCATATTGTTTTTTCGCATTTGTAGTTTGTTTTCTGTTATAATGCTACTTGCTTTTAGACATTGTTTCTTATTAATGGTATTGTTAATGTGATAATTATGCATGTTTTTTGATCAAATCCATTCGTATTCACTCACATTTTCTCACTTATTGCAAAAAATCACAAAAAAAAAATTTCACTCCACTTCCTTTATCGCACTGCTGTTTAGCAAAGATTTGAGGGAGGATGACGAAAACAAAATACCCATAATTGTTGATAGTATGCTTTTGGATAAAATCTCGTCGATGATGTACATGCATTGTTTCAAATCCCCAAACACTGGAGAGATAAGGAGTTAGTCCCTAGTCAACCACTTCGAGCCTAGAAGTAGGAGTTCCCTTCGGATCTATAAATCCTTACACTTAACCTGGGGCAAGGGTAGTGTTCAGCTAATTCAACCCTGCACTCGAATCAACAAAGCAAAATCCAAAAGACGGTTGTTCACCAATGATATGGCAGTCACAGACCCTTCAAAAAAAATTCAAAAGCCCGCTAAGTCGAACACCTCAAAAGGAGACTTAGGCAAAAATCAAGGCAATCCCGATGGATCTGACAAGCAAAGTCAGCCCATGCAAAAGTTAGGGATCAAAAGAAAAATCAAAAGAGGTCCTCAAACCCTCGACAAAAGCAAAATAAGATTCAGTGGCCACCCAAGTCAAGGGGCACTGACATCCATCAAAGAACAAAATATGGTGACTGCCATCTCAAGCAAACCTTGAAACACCGTCAAGCAGGTGCAAAATTAACTGAACGTAGGTATGGAGATCATTACGAAGAAGGGGTGGGTACAAATCAAACTTTGAGCCTAATATCCTTTGTTTCTATAACCGTGAACCAGACCACGATACGACCCTCAAAAGACCTAATTGAGGCGGAGTTTATTTTGAAAGCATACTACAGCAAGGTTGCGTAACCTGACTCCTCACATGAGTGCTAATCACCAGCATTGGTGTCTTTATTCTTGCTATATGTTTCACACCAATTAAATTAGCACTGCGTTTGGACTAATAGTCCGCTCGTCACACACTGCCACATCATTCTAATAAATGATCCTTTCAAATTTTGCATAAATATCACATTAAAATTACCATTTTTGAATAGACACTTTTCACTGCAAGTCAATACTTGGCATTATGGAAATTGCAACAAAATAGCAATCAAAGAAGAACTTGATCACTCATTGGTGTTGACCTGAATCAAGACTTTCTCATAACCTTGCGAATCTGGGGCAAGTCCTTCTGAGGTTTAAACCGGGGCAAACCACTACAAGGTTCAGGCTGGGGCACGTTCTTCCGAGTTTCAAACAGGGGCATATTACTGCAAAATCTAGACACTGGGGAAATCATCGCGGACCATGTCATGGTATAAATCTTTAAGAAAAATCTTCAAATACCCTACAGACTGGGCCAGGCTAGATTGAACAGGGGAAACTCCCTTCTTGCATCCAAGTTGGTCAAGCAAACTGTGCCAAACGCCAGTAATTTTTGAGTTCACAACAAGCGTCAAAAGCCTTGGGGCAGAGCAAAAGCATGATCAACATGCATTGGTTAAGTCGCTACGCTCGCATATTCAACATGCTTTGATTATGTCGTTGCGCTCAACATTTGCAAGCCATCAAGGCATATCAGCTAGAAGCTAGGTTCTTACAAGAACGAGTGCACAACTTCTGCAAAGGATCTAACTTGGGGCGTCCATAAACATCCACATCTGTATTCTGAGCATATCATTATCAGATACCGTGTGTCGGGAAGTCAAATAATTTCACCAAATAAAGTCCACTTCTGTTGGCATCCCATAAAACTCAAAAAAATCCATTTTTATTGGCAACCAAATAAAAAGTCCACCTTGCTGGCATCATAACCATTAAAAGTCCAACCCCGCTTGGCATCTCCTAAAGTCCAATTTGTGTTGGCAACCCTTAAAAGTCCAACCCCGCTTGGCATCCCCTAAAGTCCAATTTGTATTGGCAACCACTAAAAGTCCAACCCTGCTTGGCACCACCCAAAAGTCCAACCTTGCTTGGCACCTCTCCTTAAAGTCCAATCCTTTATTGGCAACTACCAAAGTCCACCATTGTCGGCACCTCAATAAAACCAATCTCATGCTTGCATTCACATATGCATCATACAATTGACATGTATCATACGCATACATAGCACGATCATTTCCTCTTTCAACCCCCGAGTTGATATGTCTTTATTTTCTCGACCCCCGAGTCGAAATTTGCCTTTTCCTCCTTCAACTCCCGCATTGATATTTTGTTTTTTTTTACCCCCGAGTCGATATTTACCTTTCTCCAACCCCCGCGTTGATATTCATCTTTCTTTAACCCCCGAGTTGATATGTCTTTATTTTCTCGACCCCTGAGTCGATATCTTTACTATCTTTTTCTCTCGACCCCCGAGTCGATACTTGTCTTTATTTCCTCGACCCCCGAGTCGATATTGCCTTCATTTTCTCTCGACCCCCGAGTCGATATTTGCTATTCTTCTTCAATCCTCAAGCTGACTTGTTGTTCTGATTTATCCTCGACCCCCGAGTCGATAGTATATTTTGTTCTTCTCAACCCTCGAGTTGATGTGCCAGTATACCTTATAAATCTTTTCACCTTGTTTCACCTAATGCCAAAAATAATCCCTTGTGGAAAACCAGAAATGAAGCCTTACCAAATCCTGTTACCCGGTTGCATTCTCATGCGCATTGCATTTCAATCATTTGCATATAAATCTTGCATTCCATAGCAGTTGCATCATTTGCATATTTGTGCATCAACAAAGCATTACATTTTATCCCCAGCGCCACAGCATAACAGGATCTAGGATCAGTTCACAAGCATCTTGACCGGTCCTCTATCAAAGTCGGCAGTATTTCTCTGGAAAGAGTTAATGTCGCATGTGTTCAAGGAATTCTATCCCCAGCAAGCCATTCTTTAACCATACAGTTGTTGATGATGGTTCCCAACAGTCTTTGCTCTCATAGCTTCCCAAGCAGAGGTTATCCTCAAAAGAGTTTCTGGAAGATTTCTCCCCTGCAGAGATTGGACTACGTTGTTCCTTTAAATAGGAATGTTAGCTCAACTATTCCTCAGCAAAATTATCACTCGAGATACTGCTTTGGTATCATCGAAGGACCTTAACGAATGAGGGGCCGCTTCGACCACCCAAGGAGGATCGTTTGTACCGCTTTGGTATCATCGAAGAACCTTATTGGATAAGGGACTGCTTCGACCACCCAGGGAATATCAGGTTATCTCGTTCATCTATTTTGCATCTTGTCATCCCGTTCAGGTATATCCTATCTCTTTGCATTTTACTTACTTGTCGGACAAATTTCGGGGTCTTTTTGTATCTAATTGACTTTCACCCTGAAAATGAACGCCATGCAGCTGTTCATTCTCTCAGGTTCAAGGCAATTAGATAGGGGCATCTGTCATACCCCAAACTTGTCCTACCTTTTTTCAAAATTTTTATTTGCCCGATTTTGTTTTTAATTTACCTCGCTTATACAGCGTAGCGTAATTTTTAGCAAAAACAGGCATTTTCTTTTTTTAGCCCAATAATTTTTTGACACGTGGCATTTGTTTGTGATTTATTTGTGCTACGTAACATTTGTTTTCGTAATTATTTCTGTTTCATAATTTCTTTTTTTTATTTTTATAATATGTAAATATAATATAGTTTTAATATTAATCAATTATTTAGTTTAGATTAGGTTAATTTTTAATAATTAGTATTATTTTTTGTATATCTTGTTTGTATTGATATATATTAACAATACTGGTAATTAAATATTCTTTTTTAAAATTTTAGTGTATTCTATTTTATGATCATCAATGCTTCTTTAATATATATTATTTAGATTACACTACTATTATTTTATTTAAGTTGTTAATATTAATTAATAATTATAAGAAAATTAATCAAAATTAAAATCATTTTTAAGAGAAGGAAAGTGGAAATTGGGGAAGGCCCATTTGTATTTGGCCCGTTAGGGTTGAGTCCCATGGGTTATATGTAGGACTTCTCATTCAGAAAAGAGGGGATGGAATTACTGTTCACCGAGTCCAAATCGGCGCTAAAACCTAGAATCACCATCTTTCTTATCCATACAAACACTCTCACAACATCTCTTGGTTTTCCCAAATGGAGAAGAAGCGGCCATGAACATCACTCTCCTACGACCACCACCACCATCACCAATCTCAACCTCTCACCAACCCCTCGCACTTCACCACCACCGCACTTCTTCTTCTCCGTTCAACTTCCCCAAAACCAAAACCACTACCTCCAACTCTTTTGTGTTGAACTCCACAAACCCCTCCTCACTCTCCGCAACATCAAAATCAGAACCACGCGACGAAAAGCTTCTAACACTTTTACAACAGAGAAAAACTGAAGAAGCTTGGATTGCTTACACTCTCTCCGCTCACCTCCCTAACCCCACTTTCCTCACGCGCCTCCGTAATGAATCCCAGCTTCACCGCCTCGACTCCAACTCCCTCGGCCTCCTCGCGGTTGCCGCTGCTAAAGCTGGTCATACCCTCTACGCCTCCTCTGTTGTCAAATCCATGCTCCGCTCCGGGTATCTCCCTCATGTCAAAGCATGAAGCACTGTTGTAAGCCGGCTTGCTTCTGATGATGACGCTTTCGGTCCCGTTGAGGCTCTCCGTCTCTTCCATTCAGTCACGCGCCGGCTACGTAAGCTTCCCGACCTTAACATGGCGGCGGATTCGCGGCCGGATACGGTTGCCTTCAATGCGACACTTAATGCATGTGCTAATTTGGGGGATGGTAAGTTGTTCTTGCAGGTGTTTGATGAAATGTCGCAGTTTGGTGTTGTGCCGGATTCTTTTAGTTATAACATTGTTATGAAGCTGTGTTTTGGGAGTAATAGAAAAGACTTGCTCGTGTTTGTGTTGGAGAGGATTCTTCAATTGAATATCGGTTTATTTTATATGAGTGTGTGTAGCAACAACCAGTTGGAACCGGCAACATTTTGATTTTGCAGCAGAACTCGATGCCAATGTCGTAACAGCAACTCCGTAGCATGGAACGATACAAGCATTACAGCAGAGGTTCTTGCCACTTTACTCATTTCACTTTCGGGATCTCCTTCTGTTTCGCGGCAACACCGTGAAGTTGCCAGCTGCGGCGACCGGAGAACGTCCCGACTGTTTTGCTTCCAGCTCAACAACAACGACAACACGGCGTCGGCATTCTCGGCTTCGGCTAGGTAAACGTATCAACTAGTTTCGCTTATTTGTCGGATTGGGTAATTATTTGTGATTGTTGTTCAATTTTTTTCATTGGTGATATGGTTTGGACGTTCACGCTGTTGTTTTGATCCTTGGTGTTCTTCGATGTCGGATTGCGAAAGTTGTTATCATTTGAACTAATATACAAATCTACCAGTTTTTTTCACTACACTAATTATGTATATTTCTGCTGTGATGTTTTGAAATACTAAGCCACTGATGTTAAATGCCAAAGTTTTATTTGTTTTATGTTGTTGAATGTTTTGATGTATTGTAAAATTATCTCATTGTGAATCATGATTAATGTTTGGATTGAATTTCGCAAGAGTTTTTGATTGCTCCCTATAGATTTGATCTGATTTTCGCGGCTGTTACTGTTTTATCTTGACAGTTAGATTAATTGATTCTTCTTGAACAAATTGCAACATTGTCCAATGTGTTGGTTTATTTTTATGGTTTGTAAATAATTTATAAATAGTAGAAATAATGGTATAATGAGGTTGATAAAAAAATGTTTTTTTTTATTTTTCGGTGGATCATAAGTTACAGTATTTATAAAAACATTATGTTGAGAGCCTACTTTACAAAATACCTTCCTTTAGCTATTTTTTTTTAAAAAATTCTTATTATTAATAGGTTGATTAAATATTTAATTTTGTATAAAATAGGTAATTTTGACTTTATTTTTTATGTTAGTTAGTTAATTAGATTAAGATATGTTAATATACTTAATTAAGTTATTTTTCCATTCAAATTAATTTCTTATTCCTATTCTTTTCGATTAAACAATGTAGATGTTGGGCTCTTGGGGTCTAGCATCCCTTGAGTCCTTGAACAACTATTCTCGAGGTGCACGTGTTGCACCCCAAAATTTGACCAACATTAATTTACCCATCAAGTGTTTGAAGGTTGATACCTTCATCAGAAAGTTCAAGAGATCCTCAGAGAAATTGGTTGACACCAAGGTTGTGTGCTTCATAGCTTGAGAGTTGTGGGTGCTCCTCAGATGATTCTGAGACTGTGAGGTTGAACTTGAAGCTTTGAGAAAGTTTAGGAGATGTCTTGAAAGCCATCATGAAGCCCAGAGAGGTCATTGTGCAAGAATTCAGAAGATTCAACCATGAATGGTAGAATTAGGGTTTGACTGGGTCAATCCTAGATCAGCTGAAGATTTGGAGAAGGTTGAGACCTAATCCAAGGGCCATGAGATCATGGAATGATGCATGGAGATGTTATAAAGATGATTCCTAGACCAACTCATCATGATTGAGGAGTTTGAGAAGTTTTGAGTTAGGGTTTCTAAGGATGGACAGTGAAAAAACCCTAGTTTGATCCCTATCTTCCAGGCAGTTTTAGCTCAAGATGTGATTGATATCTCATCTTCCCCACAACATGAATGTTGTAGAGCTTGTTCTTAGCTTTAATTTTAGTGGTAGAAGTCCTTGATAGGATGTGCAGAGCTCAAGTTATGGTTTTGACAAATTACAGGTCATCTGAGGTGTGTGAATCTGGGTCCTTGAAAGTCACCCAACTTGCAGACAACTTTTGCCCTAGTAGGATGATTCCTATGATCTCTTGGTCAACATGAATGTTGAAGATCATCTTCTTAGCTTTCTAGATAGTACTAGAAGTCCTTGATAGGATTTGTAGAACTCAACTTATGGTTTGAACAAGACAGGGGTATTTTGGTCATTTGGTGATTATGGGTCATTTTAAGCAAAGGCCATATCTCCTATTTCCAAACCTCAAATGAAAAAACTCAAAACATAAAAGTTGTTCAAAATGGGATTTTAAGCCTAGGAAAGTGGTCATGAGTTGTTGGAAAAGCTTGTAGCAAGGATTTACAAGATTGGGTGAAAATGACCTAAAAATGACTTATAACTTAAATGGATCCAAGTTGGAATTTGGTTTGGGAGATGTACAAATCCAAAATAGGTCATCCAATATGTCATTTTGAATCCCAACATCATTTTAAAAACAATGGTTCAAATAGATTTTTGATTTGAGGTCTTAAAATGGGGGCTACTTTGTAAAGTTCATGCTTGCATATTAAGGAACCTTTGCAAACCTTCACACAAGCCAAAGATAAGCTTGTTTTTCACTCATTCAATCCCAATATCTCTTGTAAGGAGATTTTGACACAAAGTTAAGAGGCTTAATGCATGATATGAGATGATACCATATGTCACTTCATGAGAAATTCCAAGACTTTCTAGGGCTTTCTAGATGATTCTAAAAGCTTCTAGGTTCTTCCATTGATGGATATAAATTGAGAGGCTCACAATGTGATAAGAGGTTGGTGAATTCATTGGTGAAGAGTGAGGGAGAAAAGTGGATTTCAAGGTTTCTTCAAAATCAAGCAAGGTTCCATTTCTTCTTCTACAAGCTTTCTTCCTCAAGATTCTTGCAAACAGAACCATATCCACCATTAGAGGAGTGTTTGGCATCAATTACAAGACTTGAAGCCAGCTCCAACAGCACTTACCATCATCATTTGACAGGTTGGTGTTCTTCCTCATATCTCCATAATTATGTACATTCGATTAGGTTCTTGGGTGTAGAAATAACAAGTTAGGATAGAAGACCATTTTCTGAGGGTTAGAGAGGATTCTATGAAGTTTCATGGCAGGTCACCATTTCTTTAATTTCCAAGAACAAGCTGCGGATTGAGTTTTAATGATCATGTGCTAGCATAGAATGATGGGGGTAACGTGTAGAACAAGTTCATACCATTTAGATTTGAGTTTTAACAGAGTTGATCACAGAGAAAAGAGGTTGAACCCAGGACTTTGAGCTATCGGGTTAGGAGTTACAGGAGGTTTCAATGGAAGATATGAGTATGGTTAGATTCCTGGTAACACGTAGAGCCTTTTTGGTTCTTAAAGTTTTGGATTTCATGGAGAAATGGAGGAGAACGAAGGAGGTGAAGTTCTGGCATGGGGTTAGGGTTTTCTGAAACCCTAATGGTATTTTGGAGAAGACGGGTTTGTAACCGTTGGATCACCCCTGGATATCTGACTTTTTAATTCCATCCAACGGCTCCAATTTAATTTCAGAAACGGAGGGAAAGACTTGAGCAAAACGCCGCGTTTCAATAAGTGAGTAATCCTGGGCTCAGCAAGTCATTACTATCCCCACCCCCTCGCACGGCCCAATCCAATTTTCAACAGGATTTCTTTGCTAAATACACCGTCTTCGTTATTATTTTCTTTTGATTTTTCATATTAATTTTTCTGAAGCGCATGAGCCTAACGCATTTTCTATCTGAACCCCCCCTCTAAGGCCCACGCTGGATAATGAACTAGGCGTGTTTCTGTTCTCACCCCCCATCCCATTTTCTTTTATTTTCTTATTTTAATTTCCTTTATTTTCTTGCATTTTATAAAATTCATATAAAATTGAAAAATGATTGTTTTTTAATTCTTGTTTTTTCTATATGTTCATAATTTTGTCTAGAAAAATATCAATAAATAAAATTGGCATTTTATTTCCTTTTAATATTTTTAGTATATTTTTCATTTAAATAGCTTTTAAATAGGTTTAAGTAGATACCTCAATTTTGTAGAATTTCTTTTAGGACCTTCCCTTAGGATTTTTGAGCCATTCTTTTTGGTGTGATTAGATATTGAATCATAGTTTTCCATAGGATTTAATTCATGATTTTTAGATTAAAATCTGATTAGTTTAATTAGGTTAGCATTAGTGATCCAAATTAGGGTTTAGGTTTAGCTTAGGAGAGATTATTTATTTTCTTTTAGGAGTTTTGTCTTGATTTTTGGGTATGGGCATATGGGGATGTTATGGGTAGGTGTTGTAGACCCTTGTGAATAATTGTCAGATTCTTCCCTCTTGCTTTTATATTTTTAGATATTTTCTGAATAGGACTGATTGTGTTGGCTGTCTGTGTGATATTTGTCTGTCTTTTGGGGTTTATCTTTGGGGAATTGTTGTTGGGCTTGGTTTGTCTTGAAGACCTTATTGAAGGAGCATGATGGAGGAGAAGATTGAAGATCAAGTCCCAGAGACCCAGAGGTTGGAGCTTGCTCTCTGTTTGTGAGGTTTGAGATCCTGAAGTTTGAAGGAAATTTATGGTACTTTCCTGAGGAAGGCACTATGAATGACTTTCATTCTTTCTTCTCACCTCTTTCTCAAGTATCCAATGATGTTGGAGCCAACATGTGAGTTTAATTTCTCCTGAGGAGGAATGTAAACTGATCACAGTTGTTGAGCCACATGGGATACAATTCCTAAGTGGAAGCCTCCTAGTACTTTCCTGAGGAAGGTCCTATGGGTCTGTTCACTTAGTTCCCTTAGTTCATCTAGGATTTCTCAAGTATCCAATGATGTTGGAG